CCCCAAAACCCCAAAACCCCAAAACCCCAAAACCCCAAGTTGCTTAATTTTAAGTGAATTTGTATTTAGATAAATGGAAACGGAGCAATTGCGCACTAATGGTAAAGAGACTCTCAGCAAAGGTAAAAATCAGATCAAGCAAGAAAAGACTGGCTCAAAGACACAAAATATAGAATTCCTCGGTGGTAGAACTATCAATGCTGGTAAGTATTCTCCATCCTGTTCTTTTATATTTTTCTAGAAATCGGGTATCACAGACAGAAAATTTTGAGTCAAAAATTGCCTAAGAACCCGACTTGTGAGAATATTCCTGAATTTCCTTGGCAAGAAAGGTGGCTCAGGGGATATGAATATGAATTTATACTTAAGAATTATAAGCTCTATTGATCAAAGTATGGGTTCACTTATCACTCTAAACATCCAATGAGTATCTACTCAAAGCCGATCCCAGGCAGTATCTACTTTATTGAGAATATGCATTTGAGAAAATTCGGGTTCCCACGCATTGACGGATTTGAAAAGAAGATTAAGTGGAAATAAGATGAATTTCACCACAAATTTACCGAAAATTGACCCTCAAGTTAAGTACCTTGTTGCCACTGGAAAGCTAAGAAGCGAGTGATACAGAATGCATGTTGTCGTTCTTGCTTCTAGGTACAGCAGAGATCATGGACTGTTAGATGTCAGTAAAATTATGGAAGAGGAAGATCCTCTCCGGATCATATTGTGTCATACCATGAAGCTAGGCAAAGGCAACTCAAAGAGAGCTTGTGCTAAGAACAAGCGGTATCTTAAGAACGACCTTGATCTTGGACAAGAAGATCTTGAACTCGACATTGATGGGATTGTGAACAAATTCAAAGAAGCTATGCAGATAAAGAGTAAACTAAAGCTCCCGATTAACAAGCAGAAGGTTAAGAAAAGGGAACTCTCTGAAAGCCAGAGCGAAGATGAGAGCTCTTCTTCAGAATCTATATGCTCTGCGCCCTCTCCAGGACCTATAGCTAGGAGGACCAGATCCTTAGTCAAGAGTAGAGTCAAAACTAAGCCAAAGGAAGAGGCCAAAGATTTCTCTAAAGTAAAGGAAGAATCTAAGAGTAATCCCCATAATTCCATCGACAGTAGATCATCTGAGAAGACTGATGAAAATCTGCTTGTGAAGACCATTAAGGATTCTATCAGATTAGAAAGAAAGAAGCCAGCTGACCAAAAATTTACTTTAAGCTTTGCTAAGGTCAAAGAGCTTAAGGATGAAGAAAAGCCTAAGAAGCAAGGCTCTACTCGGAATGTAAACAGAAGGCAATGAGGCCGATCTAGTTCTGAGTCTCAGTCACAGTCGCAAGATAGAGATCATAGAGGTAGAAATGAAGACAAATCTTGGTAAGATATATTTACTAATTTTTGTTTAGCCTCTTGCAAGTCCATCCAGATGAACTTTTAATCGAAGAAGATGTTTACTCTAATGACTCAGGAGATTCAGAGTCAATGTCCGAGGACTGTAGGCAGATTTCAGACGCAGAATTCCAAAAATCAGTTGAGAAACCTGTGAGGGTAGACCTAGAGAGCTCTATTCATACTGAGAGCGCATGCTTTGATTCTTTAGGGTTGTCTAAAAGTTTAAGTTCTAATAAGAATTATATTCTTCCTGATTGCTCCCAGTATAGGCAATATTTGAAAGGGAACAAGCTGCTATCACATTTTTACAGATTTATTAAGGATAAAGACAAAGAGTTGGCAAATATGATTGGGCCAAATCTTGCCATGTACACCTCACCGCCTTGTTTATGTGAGAATGATCCTTCTCGAGAGTGTAAGTTCATCAGGGTAAAGACATCTCCAAACTGTCTCAACCTTTCCCAGGTCCCTTTTCAAGAGCTTTGTATGGAAGACCAGGAGATCGACGATTGTGAGTTTTTAGAAGACCCAAATTATTTGCAGAAGTAGAGTCAATAAACTAATTCATTAGATTCAATTTCAGAAATTTGTATAGGGGTTTTGGGGTTTTGGGGTTTTGGGGTTTTGGGGTTTTGGGGTTTTGGGG